AAAAAAAAATTTAATTTAAAATTTTACGAATTGAAATTTTATTTTTTTATCATTTGTGTTTCTTGATTAACTTTTAACTTATGAATCTAAAAAAGGCAAATGATCAGAAGCACGTGATCATCTTACCTGGGGGTAGGGGGTAAACGCTTATATTAAAATTATATTAGCTAATATATGTCAGCGCCCTTACTATGCACAATATCATTTGTCAGTTTTAGCATAATCTAATAATTAGCCTCCTTTACAAGACAAATGGATTGTTGCATATATTTGAAGCAACAAATAAGAGTCAACGACATGTAACAGACATCCAACATCGAGATCTTGTTGATATATTCCAATCCTGTAGCGATAGACAAGTAAGTGTTATGTTGTTACTGCTCAATTATTTTCAAAATTTTGTAAATTTGTTTGGTATACTATTTAGGATGAGCCAAATCAAAATACTTATTTGCGAAAAAGAAAAGAAGTAGATTATAATGAAGATCGGATGTCAAAAAGGGTTTATCATGATGGTGATATTACGCCATCTCCATGTAGTTTGACAGATAATTCTCTTTTTGAAACACCTCAACACCTTTCAAGGTAGATTTTTGATCTCATTAATGGTGATCGCTTGAACTTTTCAGTGCCTATATATTTATTAAACATTTCTTTGTATATTTTGTGTATAGTGCCAGTAATAAATCCAACAACAATGAATCTGATGATTTTACCTCAGGTGAAGAAGTTGAGGAAGTTATAGATGACTGGATAAATTATTATTTTGATAATCTCGAAACAAGTGAAAATAGAATCTAAAGTTCAAATACATAGTAAATCGAAATTTTATTTCTGTTGTCATATAATTATAATTATTATTTTCTTATTTTAGTGGAAAGTTAGTGAGATTAATGTCACGAAAAAATTTAGACAGTTTCAAAATGACCTTCTTTATAACATAAAACACGGTATTAAAAAACTAACATGACATGATACTTTTGATCTACTGTAAGTATTAATTAAATATTCTAAAACATTTCATCGCATATTTATTAACATATCTTTTCCCATTACATTAAGGCTTTGGCGTCAATCATAGTTCTGGATTGACCCTGCCCGTATAATACTTTTACAGCTGATGAGTGGCTTGAAATAACTGATAATAACTCATTTAAGTTGACCGAACCAGTATTAAATGCTGACTTAACAACGCTATTACTTGATGCCACTTTCAAAAAATCGTTAGGCCTAATTACTGATTTTATAGGTATAAATGATAACAGTAAGCATAGTTATTTAGCGAAACAAATTTTCTATGGATTGTAAGTTAGATTTAAGCATTTTTGTTAATTCTAAAGGAAAAAATGTTGAAGAGCTAATCTTTTTTTACTATTTAGAGCTGATGATGTTCCAATTGTAGCCCTACGCAAAACATCTAAAGATGAACATAGGTTTTGATACCTAGATCCTTTTCTTAAAATATTTGGTGGTCCTTATAAAAATTATAAATTGAGATTGAATCGTACTGTCAATGGGAGCCAAAAGAGGCCAGATTTCGTACGTTTGATAAAAACTACAATGGCATCCTCTCAGCTTCAGCAAAACACTGATTTACAATCTACTATTAAATCCTTGCAAGAGATTATGTCTTGAGTGACTAAGACTTTAGATAATAGTAAAAAATCCACCAGTAAGAGAGCAGAGGATCTTGTTGTTAGACGTTTTTTGAGTGACCTACTAAGAAAAAATCCAAGTAAACATCCTGTTGATGAATATGATTATGATCCTATAGATGATATTTCAGATAGTTTAGCAGGATTGACACTAAATATGGTTATAAATACTGCTATAAAACATGTTATTAAGAAGTCATCTTCAAAGCAAAAATGTTTCTACTGTGGTAGATCTGGACATAATTCCTGAAACTGCCCTCGAAAGAAGAAAAAGAAAAGCAAGAAGTCTAAAGAGGGTAAGGTTAACCTTGCTAGTGTAGATTTAGGTTCAGGTTCAGGCACTTTCTCTGATAGCTCTTTTAGCGATAGTTTCAATTCTGATACAAGTTCTTCTGATTCTTCTGATTCTGAAAGCAAAATCACTTTTAATATTGCCAAGACAAAAAAAAAATGAAGCAGAAGTTTACTGCCATGCTAAGAGAAATTCCATTAGATGAAACTATTTGTAAAATCCTTCTAAGTGAGCTTAAATTAATTTTTTCTGAACGTTTTTTTCATGAATCTAACGTCATTATGTTCAAACAGATAATAGCTCCTATAGAGGTGAAGATAGTATCTCAAAGCAATATCTTTTCAGCTTTTAAAGATTTATCTCTGGATGAGTCCAGTCTAAAGGAAGAATCTTTAGACAATCCTATAAAAATCTATTTTGTTCAGAAAAAGGAGCTGAAAACAAGTGTTGCGATTGTAAAGTATAAAATTAAGCGTTTAAAGATTTCAGCCATGACTTTTGATTTCAAAGCTGAGCCTTCAATTATAACAAAAAATATTGTTGATCACATTAGGGCTAAAATTGATAAATTTGAAAAACATGACCTTAGTAGTATTGCTACTATTCCTATTAAATCTATTGGTATTGTCCGCAATTTTCCAATTACCTTAGCTTCAGGACTCACTATTCATAACGATTTTTTAGTTATAGATTATCTTAAGCCAATGTTAATATTTTTCAACTAACTCTTAAAAAAATATGGATGCGCAATGGATTGGGATACAAATGAGCTAAAGATTTCTTTTGATGAAAAAGATTATATTATTCCAGTCATCATGTATAAGGTCAAGAATAAGCTTAAAATGAATTGCGCGACCACTACTCCCAAATGTGATGATCTGTTAGCTCCGGACAAAGTTTCTCAGGACCTGCAGGACTCTCAGGACTTAAGTGAGGAGAACATATTAAAAAAAGCATGAAACTATTAAGAGCTTGAAAAACTGCTATATAATACCCTCATTTCCAAAGCTAGATTAATTGAGATTAATAAAAATCTGCAATCCTTTTCTTCTTGCTAACTATTCATCATTTACTATGAAAATATGGTCTCACTAAGACTCCTGTGAAACATTTTTGTTTGAATATAATTAAAGGGTGAGTTGCGATCTAAAAGCTTTTCTGATTTACATATAGCTTTCTCCACTTTGATACAATTCTTTTCAATTGAAATAAATATGTTTTGCGAAATGTCTAGGGTGGAGTTTTGATAAAGATCCCCAGCTGAAATCTTAGGTAAGTCAGAACTTTAAATAGATTTAGACTGGTTCTGAAAGATGCATTTTGTTAGTTTCTTTTTTTTTTTGCTTTTTCTGTACATTTATCTCATAAAATGGATCTGCTATTAAGACGCTTCGCAAAGATCCTAAAATTGGATGATTATTTTCTTTATCTTGCAGATTATTCTCTAAAAGAGGAACTAATGAAATGGATTGTACTTTCCTAAGCTTTTCAAAAAAGTAGTTTCCATTTTGCTGTGAACGCTCATAATTGTTTCATATATCATGAATACTATTTTATTAATATAACACTCTTTTACTATTATGTACATTGGAACCTTATTTTTGAGATATTTAATTTTTTCGATCTGCTCAGAAGTCAAGACTGTAACACTTCACCGATAATGAGTTTTCAAAATTGAGGTAGACATACTTCTCTGATATTTTTTAGACAATGTATTTAGATTCATAAAAAATATTAGGCATTAATATTTATCATTTTAGATAAATAATAAATATTAAAATTCATTATTTATTGTTTTTAGTTGAAAGAAAATATTTAAATATATAATTTATAGTTTTAGATAGATAAAATACATTCTAATTCATTCTATATTTATCATAATTGTTCTCTAAAAAAAATATGAAAAGTTTTTTTTTTACAGTATATAATTAATATAAATAAATGGAAATGTATGATCTTAAAAAGGAGATATACCATATCTAACAAGACGTATTCAAGATACGAGACTATAATGCTAAGTTGCGAAATGAATACATGAAGATCAATGATGAGGCCAAATAGTTAAAGGTTGAAAATTCTAAACTCTTTTCTCAATATGTTTGCGTAGAAACATTTCTCGTTAAATATAAAGCTGAATGTTATGCAAAATCAAAGAAAATGAAATCGCTTCAATCTCTGATTAATTTATTACCCAGTTCATTCAGAACTTCAGGATACTTTAATAAAAATAATCGGCAAAATATTTCTAAAAGAATCAATTCATATATAAAAGTGAGCTGATAGGCATTTTGTATAGTAAAAAAATAATAAGCCAGAGAGCTCTAGTGTTTCTTCAGAACAAATCATACCTACTACTATTTCTAAAGAAAAGATTTTATTAGGTGGTGCAGAGAATCTTATTGATATAAACAAATTATTATCATCAGTACTCACCTGCTCAATAATGCTTTTTCTATTAATCGTAATTATATGGTTAGTCATTGTGAAAAAGCTATAGAATTTGGAGAGTATTATGCTGAAAAAAAATGTTAGATATTCCACCCACAAAAAATATATAAATAGAGAAAAGGTACTAAAGATACCAGATAGGCTGAGAATAACAGCTAATTATCTACTGTATGAGTACTGGTGCTAGTGAGACTTCTTTCAATACAGGCTAATATTATTTTTGGTAAATTTTTAGACAGATTTATTAAGACTTTTCTGCTTAAAATACTGTACACGCTAATAACTAACCAATATAGATTCAGTCACCTTTCTTACCATTATGCTTATATTGTAGTAAAAATCGATAGTCATCTATTACAATATCTCCCATCTCCTCCTGTTCTGATATTATTTTACAAAATTCCTATTGATCCTCTTCTATAATTAGGGAACGGATTCATTGGATTTGAAGTCTATTATTGAAAAACTTTTTCCTATAGTTTAGCCATTATACTAATAAAGCTTATCTTTAAAATATGCAAATTTTTTTTTCAGTTGATCGTATTTCAAGAATATTGTTTTGCCAAATTAAAAATACTAATAATTATTCTAATTATCTTCAGGTATATCTGAAGGGTCACTTTGTGACCAGGCTGAAAAAATGTTTACCTTACAAACCCAAATCAAATATAGGAATTAAAGTTAGTTTGTATTATTGCAGGAGGAAAAAATATATAAATAATATTATAAGTTTTCTTAACCAGATTTGCTACCCCCGCTAGAATACTTAATAATATAATCTATTTAAGTACTTTGCTTTAGCACTTCTGATTCAGTTACACCCTCAAGATGAAAATACCATAAATTACTAATGCCATTTAGCGTCTCAATATCTGATATGTGAGGTAAGACAGATAGGTTAGCAATAATCTTATTTTTTCGCATGGATAAAACTGGGTCAATTTCTTTTGAAATTGATATATGCTCTTTATAACGCATATGATAGACCAATTTGTAAAAGAATAAATTATACTTTTCAATACACTTTGCAAGCTCATTAGGATATTGAGCAAAATCAGAACATATTTTTTCCTTCATTTCATCATCTACCAAAAGGTTTTTATCTTTAAAATTCTTCTAGCGCATTTCATAAATTTCTTTCATAATATCTTGACAGGGTTACTTACCATGAAAATCTCATAGCTAAGCCATTTACTATAAAATATTTTATATGAACTACCTATCTTTTGATACAATATTTCTTGTATTTCTTTGACTGTATTTCTATAAGCGCGTTTATAAGCATTTTTTATAAGATATCATCATCTTGAAAGTAATACCATTCACTATAATATTCTCTTTTACAAATCCCTCAAGCTATGACTTGAGCATAATCATCAATCTGCTTATATTTCTCATCTGAATCTTCAATTTGCATAATTCTACTTGAGAATGCTAGCTCGTATTTCTTGTCATATATGATAAATTAAACACAGAGTCTAATAATAGTTTTTTCGAAATAATGATATAAATCTAGCTCCTTTTCTAATTCCTTTACCACATCAGCGAATTTCATTTTTTCACCCTTAGTTGGCATTAATTTTCTACTATGTAAATCAAAAGTGTTTTCAGGGTGAGTCACTACATAACTAAAGCGCTCGCCTGATACTAGAATCTTACTGTTGTATTTTTCTCTCATTTGACTTATAAATCATTGAATGGCTTTGTTATCTACATCAGATTTTCATGTATTGATCTCTATAAACTGCTCAAAATCCCATTGCTTGGGATTAGTTATGGCATCCCTGAGAATGTTTCAACAATTTTATGAAGGATGCGCTTATTATTGACATCTCTGACTTTATTTATAATTCGTTCGCCTATAATCTTAAAAAGCTGAATTTGCCTTGTTTCACAATATCAATTCCTCTAATGAAGGGTTTTTTCAAACTGAAGTTTACTGTATCTTCATAAGGTATGCTAAAATATTTTTTCTTTTCAGTAAACACTACTAGGAATAATACTTCTTCATAAGTCATCTTAAGATAATCTGATCTAGTTTTTAGTCTAAGAAAGGTGTTTACTTCATTGCGTAATTTCTTTATTACGACTATAGTAATCTTAACCATTTTGGTCTAGTACTCTAGTTTTGAGATTGTGTCTTTCCTATCATTGTATGTTAAATCACATTTTTCATAATAAGAATCTAGGCAAGTGAGATATAGAAAATCGATATCAACATATTTTATCTCAAAACCTTTCTTTTTCACAAATTCTACAATAAGTTTGATATTTTCTTGTCCAGCTGAAGTAACACCTCCAGCGAGTTTTATAAACTTGAATAGGAAATTGCTATTACCCATCTTACCATAAAATAAATTCATAAGTAATTTAATCACTTTCTGCTTTGAATTCAAAGAATTATAGTCAAAACAAACAGAATTATATTCTTTACTGAAATTATCATACAACGAAATAAAAGGATTCAGAATATCAGTCATTTTGATATACTTCTTCTATTTATTATCAAGAATAAAATATTTTCAATTGCGCTCGCTACTGAAAATGATCTGCCAATATTAGTCAAATCTATTCTACTTTTAACTTCTTCCATATAGTCCTTTTTCTTTTTGAGAAGTTTTAGCTGGGCCTTTACTCTATTCCGCATATTAAGCAAATTTTCTAATATTTTTAAAAACAGACCTTTCTGATCAGATTTATTCTCATGCCGTATGATCTATGCTTACACATCTTGACCATTAAAGTGAAATTCAATATTGTAGAGTATTTTATTTTCTCTTTTTAGCACATCCATTTATAAAAGTTTTGAAACCATCTTTCTGATGAGAGATTATAGTTCATAATTATGCTAGAGTATAAGAAAGCAAAGTCTAAACCTGTCATAAGACGTTTATTCTCAAGACGTTTCTCTAGAGGGAAAATATATGCTTCCAGATATTTCCCAAATTCTTTCTGCTCAGAAGCTTTCATGGTAAATAAAATATTTTGTATCAATATTTCAGTGCCTAAGAGATTACATACTTTTTTTCTTATGACGTAATAATGCATATCAAATAAAGTTATATATACCATCGAAGCAATTTCTCTATAATCATTTATGATATTACATTTGACCATGAACTTCTGACAATGTAAAGCATTTATAACACAATAATTTACGATTTCATACATATTTTTGATGGAAGAATCAGAAATCCCATCCTTAACTTCTGAATAATACTTCCATAATTTGCTCATAGGCATATCAGCTTTGCCATTGAAATCACATTTTTCTAAGAAGAATTTGAATGATGTTTTCTCAGAACTGGGGTGGAGTTGCATAAAACTTGTGCAAACATCGATCAACACATATCCTAAAAGTTTAAAAAAAGATAATTTGAAGTTCAAAGTGAAATTGATTTTGATATTGATGGAATCTCAGCCTAATATTTTTTTGGGATCCTTGTTCTTCTTGTCTGCTTTCTTTACCCATTGGCTTCTTTGAAAGAAACTATTAGTTAGTAGCTTTCCTCTTTCACCAAAATAATTTCAAATGAGGATGGATTCAGCATCAACTTTCTTATGCAGGTTTGCTAATATCTGCTAAACTATCTACTTGAAAATATTTAATTTGGTGGCCTTTTCTACAATAAAAGGCCAATCATATCCTGAATTATTAAAACTGAGCTAGATATCTGAAGCAAAAGATTTCCAACATAGAACGAATGCCTTTAAGAGATTTGTCTGATTCTCGTATATGATTGTGACCTAGCATAAGTTCAATTTTATTTCTACATTGACTAAACATATCCTCTTTAGAGAAATTGGATTGTCTTTCTAGTGTAAAGTCATGCAGATTGTAAATACTTAGAATGTGTTATTTTTCACTTCTGAGAAGTTTTCTGATCTATGTAAATTATATGTTTCTATATTCCATGTTAGGACCAATGCTCAATCGTGAGTAAAGAGAAAAGATGAATAGATTTTGTAAAGTAATTCAAAATTCTCTATGGGGTGAAAATTATCAATATGAATATAAAATGCATGTGAGCAGTAATAGGATCTCGTATAATAAGATGCATCGTAATTATATTTATAGTTACTTATAGACCCCTATCTAAAAAGTGGTATCCTATATTCTTTCGCAACTTTACGATAATATGTGCTTATATCATCTGAAGCTATTACTATTTTACATTTAAGATCAACCTTTGAATTGTAGCTTGAGATGATATTAAGAGCAGTAAATCTTTAATTTTTATTAGATGTAATAATATGGAGATACAGCTTTTTTTTTGTATGAAAACTACAGATAGGAAATGCCTTTATATATTCCTTTCAGAATAGACTCATATTTATAATGCCTCCATTCTTGTCTTTCTGGTAGTAAGTATACTCTTTACTTTAAATCAGAATTTAGAAATACTCGCATTATCAAGAACACAAATATTGAAAAATATCTTAATACCAGTAATAGTGACAACTGTTTTCTGGTCGTTAATAAGATATCCATAGAAGCAAAGAATATAATAAAGAATTTGATTAATATGTTCTTTGAATTCTTCTATATCAATTAGCATAAATAGGATATTTCGATAATTTTCTATCTTATTCTTGAGAATTAAAGTCAAACCCTTATCATTTCTTATAACTAATTATCACGAGTTAGGATGCCCATTAAGTAATTCTCACCAGAATAACAAAGTACCTGACCAACTTTTTCTTTTTTAGCCTCTGGGTAAAAAAAATCAGAGGCGTCAAGAAACTCTGAAAGGTCAGATTGAATCATGGTATTTTTTTCAAAATATGATAACTAAGTATACCCTTCGGTATAATATTTTAAGAAAAAAGTTCAAAATAAAAATAAATATTATTATAGATATCAAAAGATTAACCGAATAAAGGAAGAATAATACCAAAATGGTAGACATTAAATTTACTGAGAATTATATTAGAAAGAAAAGTAGATACATTTGCCAGTATCCTTCTGATGAAAGAATAGTTTGTGAAAATGGAAGTATGTGATCAGAAGGATGTAGTATTTACTAGAAAAGATGTCAGTGAGCTTTATGTAAATAAGAAGGATATGTAAAACTGATAGCTTCTAAATACAAGTTTTGTAATTTACATATAAATAAGTGTTATTCAAAAGCAAATTATCATCAGAAGAAGTTGGTTAAGATGCTTCAAAATAGGCAGACTTCAAAGGCATTAGAACAGGCTCTCGATAGAATGAAAATACCCAATTTTATAGGTTAGTTCTAATGACTTATCAAAAATTTGACCTAATGAAAAATTTATAGGAATAGCAAAAAAACTTAATAAGGATACTAGAAGTATCTTCTTTCTTAGTTTCAGAATTCTAAAAAGGCATTTTACTACTTGTCTTTATGTTCCTATAAGTCCCTATGAATTTCTAAACTCTTTACCTTTTTTTTATTATTTTTTTTATATACTATACATCAGCTATATATCAACTATATCAACCATATATATGATTATATTTACCTATAAGAATATCATAGAAAATCAAATTTTTCTAAAAACTTTTATTTTTTCATAGGGATTTATAAAGACATAGGAACAAGTAATAAAGAACTCAATAAATCAAGTTAAGAAGCTTAAAAATAATATCAAAATTATTCCTATGAGCGTCTTCATAAAATTTTCTTATAGAAACAAAGAATTTTTATAAAGACAATTAAAAAAATAGTATACTTATTGCTTTAATTTAGATAAAACTATGATTAGGTCTCAGAAGCACTTACAATATCACACTAATATACTAGTAATAAATAGGCAAAAGTTAGGTTGTAAAATGATACACTTCTGGTAATCAAATGGATTAAGCCAAGATAATATATATTGCACCTCTAATTCTCTAACCAACTGACCACCAGACTAGAGCTTGAGAGTGCTAAGAAATATATGAATACAAAAAATATGTGACACAAATGCATATATATTAGGTTCTAGAAACATTCTCAGAACATTTCTATTATTAGCCTGTAACTATGAAAGGATGTTCAATATCATAATAGGATTACGTGACTGACGCAGTAAGACACAGTATAAATTGGTTAGCATTATTCCATAATTTCAGCTAGATCTTTAGGTATAATAACTTGGTATTCAAGCTAGCCTGAAACTAGCAAACTAATAGAAATACTCTATTTCCTGCCAGTTCTATGATAGTTCCAGAATACCATCAAGATACCATCATGATGCTAAGTTGGATCTTCAAATTACATACCCAAAAGATTAGCAAAATTATAGTATAGTATCAGCCAAAATTAATCACAAATTTACTGCGCTACCTGTCACCTTTTTTTATATTATTTTGGCATCTAAAAAGACAACCAAATAAAGCAAATTCTTAATAAAGAACTAGTATCCAAACTAATATAGAGGGTCAACATCCTTATTATAGAACCAGATATTCAAAGAAGACTGAAAAGTCAAAACTAACAATATAGATTTTATTATATAAACAGATTAGAAACAAGAAGAAAATAGTCACTATTAGATCATGATATTACTAATAAATTAAAACACTATTAGCCACTATTAGACTATGAAGTTACCGCTATATTATAAAGAAAATAGTTAAAACAATACTATAAATGCAAAGGAGCTACCATAAGTAGGTTATGAAATCACTATCAGATTATAGATAGTAGGTTATAAATTTACCGCCAA